TTCGCGCCAAATGCACATCTCTAATTCTCCAGCTCTCAAATTCACGTATTTGGCTTTCACATCCAGGCTCTTAAGACCACATCTCTTTTTGTCTCAAGATCACATGAGTCATCGTGCACTTTTATTACAGTGGCTGCCGCTCACACCGGTCGGACGACGTTGTTTGATCATGAGGAGGGCGATTACAATGAAGCCAAACGAAAGGCTATTCTCAACTGTCTTCCCAAGACTAGACTCCAAGCTCCCGGAGTCTTTTGATCCAAAACAAAACCTTCCATCACAGGGAGAATGGAAGCATTTAAAGCAACACATACCTGGCGAGTCTGAGCAAACCAACACTGTGAGAGACAGAATGCCAATGTTTCCCCTAGCAAAGGAAAACGTTCCTACGCTTTTACCCCGCCCAGGTGTCCCTCGCGTCGGGCCCAAAATGCCCTTCAGTCGTGTGGTACAGATTTTGAAAAGCAAAACAGTCCCAGAACTCATATATGAGTCCGAGCCTCATAGACTTTACTTTCTTGGTAGTTTCTGCTGTGCAGTAATGTTTACCATCTATGGATGCGTCCTCCTAGAATACTCATGGTTCAATGCAAACAAAAAGTGGGACGAAAATGATGAGGAATTGGCTTTGCCATTTAGAAGAAGACAGTTCGGCATCGATTTGGCGACATACGGTGCCTTGGGCGCAGTAGCCTTATTTGCCGCGTATCATTTTGCCACATTTCCTACGAGGCTTATAAGAAGAATGTGGTACCTTCCCGGGCCTATCGAGCATATCAAATTTACCTCATATCCATTAATTCCTGGTAAGGCCACTCCGGTGTACACGGTGCCGCTTCAGAATATCGCGAGAAGAGACAAGGCCAGGGTCTGGACAGGAAAGGGCTTCTATGGCACTGCCGACAAGTCGATGTTTTTCTTCGTTCTCAAAGAAGCTACCACGAATAAGAACTGGGTGGTAGACAGAAAGGGTTTCTTTTGGTCCGATGGCCGTATTTTCGATCTTTTATTCGGCAAAGAAACGCTTGCGGAGGCAGAGGCAGGTATTCCATACGATGAACAAATCGGTATTATTCACAGGGAAGTGAAAAAGAAGAAGAAGGAGCTTAGGGAAAAGCATGGTGTATTTTATCAGTTCAAGCTTGGTGCAAAGGAAGCACAAAAGGACTTAAAGTCTGCGACAAGCTATGCGAAGATATTGGCCGCGAACAAAAAGCCCAAAGCTTTGCCAAAGGACAAAAAGTAGTGTAAATAGATTCAATTCGGTTTTGAGATGGCAACAATAAACAATACCACTTAAGAATGAATAGGTTGAAGAATCGCATGACTCGAAAACTCTGACAGGATTTCTTCCTGTTCAAAGGAATGAGAGTAATGTGCAGTTAGAGGTGTCAAGAGTGCGCGATATGAGCTTTGAGGAAAAATTTCCAAGCATTTGGTGAGTCTAATGTCACACGCTACGATGACTCGACGAACATAAAAAAAAAAAGTGACAGTACCATTAAAAAATTAGAAGAAGGATCTTTAAAAAAAAACAATTGATTTCGCCCAGGATCGAACTGGGGACGTTCTGCGTGTTAAGCAGATGCCATAACCAACTAGACCACGAAACCAATCTGAGCATTTTTAAGTTGCGTATTTAGTCACAATGTAAAACGTTTGTATAGGCACCATTATGCAGGAATAAATAAGTATTATCTGAAATGTCAACTCAAACATTTCAAGCAAGGCACAGCTATTTTCTTTTCTTTTTACCTGACACAATTTAAATCAATTGTGAAAAAAGCTCAGAAACAAGCAATCGACACATAATGATAAAAAGTTAGGAGATAAACAGGCTTGGAATACGAGAACGAATCACACGCGTTCTATTATTGTTCATGTCTCATAAGTCTTCAAAAAGGAGATGATTCCGAACAAATGATATCGATATCTAGTCATGGAATCCCAATTTTTTTTGACGAATACTTTCTTGAGCTCCTCAAAAGTATTTTTCTATCAGTATCGATCAAAGTTTGGCGGTTTTCCGGGACATTAAATTATGATAGTGTTAAATTCTTCTGACACAAAATTTCCCAAGAGATGCCCCTGATGTGTCCAGGAACTGGATCGGGTTTTTAATGGTTTTTGCCGTTTTGGTTATAGAAAAAGGATTTGATGATTAGACTTGTTTATCCTATTTATTCTCCCCGAGCCATTTTTAGACTGAATGACCTGCTTTTCGAAAAAAATGCGAAGAAACATAATCCAAGGATACTTGTTTGGCATTGATTCTCCAGAAAAAGATCACAATTTGGGTATGCCACTGATGAAGCAGAATCAATTAATCATGTGATCATGTGATCATGCACGCGCAGGCTGCGATTTTGCAGTCTGCGACCCAATTTACCAGCCGATAGAGCAGATTAAGAGTCTGCCCATGACCGCCTATTATGCTGAATATGCTATAAGTGGGCCCCGGTGCCCCAGGAGTCTGAAATTCATTTATGTTCTTTCTTTTTCAGCCCCACCCCTAGTAAACACTCAAATAAACATTTGATTTCTACTTCCACCAAACCTTTTTTTCTCAGTTAACTCACCTGACTACCGAGATGAACGCCCAACGTAAAGTTTCCGAAGTCTCTCAAAAGTCAGCACCCACTGCTCAGAACGAGCAGGAGCTGTCTCCTCAAGTCTCCTTGAACTCGAGCAGTAAAAATATCTTCACTTTGTTCGATTCTGCAGTCAACAACTTATCTCAGGCTATAGTTGTGGAGAACTTGCCTGCAGAAGCAGAATGCATGACCGCCGATGATTCCATGATGGAGTCCCTCGAGGACGCCGAGATAGGGGTTGCCACCTCGATTTCTTTCATTCGTGATTCATTCATCCTGGTCCAAACATTGCAAGAAAGCACCAAAGCAACTAAATCAGAGGGATCTGTTGCAAGCTTACACATGCTGGGACACTCTTCGCATACGCTACTTGATCATGCGGCAAATAGCACTTTGCCTTCCGAGGTATCAGCCATGGAGATCGACACTATTACCCGCAAAACAATCGATCTCAATATATCCCACGAAGAAGACGGGCCCGCTGCTCCTGGCTACAGCGCCTTGCACACCTTTTCAGACCCTCGGCTCAGCGCAAAGAGGAGAAAAACCGCAAAAGGCTCACACCGGCCTGGTCAATTCTTGGCTCAAACAACAAAGCGTGTCTGGGGCAAGTGCAAACGTTCTGTTGAGAAGTTTTCAAGGAACGGTCGCCGAACAGACACAACTTTGTCGACGGATGGCATACAGAGCCAATCCTTAAGAGAAGATTTTGAAGCAGCAGTTTACGAGGCTTGTCAGACCAATGAAATTGCACAGGTGAATGACCAAGTGTCCGTGTCTGTGGCCCACATTATTGCCGCCGCCAAATTTTGCTACTTTTGCGAGAACCCCTACTCTGGCTCGCAGAAACGCACCAGCTGCTTGATCTGCCAGGAAGACACTGAGCATTTGAAAAATGCATACACCAAAAAGCGCGACTGCAGAGAATTGGAGAAGGCTCTTGTAGTTGGAGATGAGCACAGTGGCCACAAGCTTAAAGAAAGCTCTTCTGCATTGAGTTTTATCAACTTCATTGCAAGAATCAGAGGACAGCAAGTGAAGTCAAGAAAGCAGAAAGTGACGATCACAACCAACGGCTCTGCCGCAAACGGGGGCAATGCAAGTGTGCATAATTAGGTATGTAGATCGGTGGATTGGGCCTCTACCTTCAACTAAACCTCATTCATAGCATCGAAAATAATAATCAAGACTTTTTTTTTGTGACACGGTAGCAAATTCGTTTAGCAAAACCGTTCTTCTCAAATGTTTGTAGCAGTCTCTTTGTTCATACTTATGCCATTCGTTTCTTGCTTCCAACTTCTAAAAGTTGGAAATCGTTTTTCTCGAATCGAACCACACGCGGTTTTTGCACAAAGCTCATTTTTCCGAACCGAATGAGAAAAGCGGTCTGAAAAGCATTTTATTCTAAAGTCAATTCATACATCTAATCATTCTTCCCCTCCTCCGGAGACTTCCCCCTAGGATTCCTCCGTGAGTGAGTCACGGTCTGTTGGATATTATGCAACACCGTGTCGAATATAGTAGCACCGAGTTTTTAATGTGGTTCGACCCAAAACACCTAAGGTCTACGTCCACGTATTTATTTGATATAGCCTATCGGAAGCTTAAAGTGGGGGAAGAAAACTTTTTAGTTTTTTTCCCCGGTAAAAGACTTTTCACGCCGCAAGCGCTAGCCCAGCCGGTCGTGCCCAGGTCATTAGGCTCTTACACCGGTGCCTAAAAACTAGCATGCTTTCGCCTGAGTGAATTTTTTCAGATTAAAGTTGGTTCATACCCAGCTTTCACTTCCTATGAGTAAGTCCCTGGATTTTCCCATACATCTGCCACCTTATTGCATTTTTTTGCGGAGTTTTTCGTTTTCTTGATTTATGAACTTCTCACTTGTCACGCAAAGGAAAAGGCAACGTCACCTTGAATTCGGAAAAAAATAGAAAAAAAATTAAAGATGAGAATAATCAAAAGAGACTTGGAATGGGGTCGAGTATTCTCTACTATGAAACCATTGTATTAATGTTGTATTCTCCCTCTCATATGTATCAAGCAAAAATGTATTAAAAAAAAGGAGTGTCATTAATGACAAGCTCGGCGTTCTCGTGCACACCAGAACGTTCTAATAAATCACTTTCGAGAATATTACAGCCAGGTGAACAATTCAGGCTCTGGCTCTCAGTCCTTCATCAGATGTATCCAGCAAAAAAGAAAATCAAACAACAAATTGCATCGAGAGACATAGAGAGTTCACATAGTACTGGCTAAATCAAGAAATCACCGTGGTAATCGAAAGCGCCTCATGATTGCACTTGACTAATTCGTACGGTCAACGCGCACCTGCATACAAACCGAGACTGCATATATACTATTCACTGTCCATGACTTATCACCTCGAAAACAAAATTGTCACAACAAGGGCGTGTGGCGCAGTTGGTAGCGCGACTGCTCCGCAAGCAGTAGGTCATCGGTTCAAATCCGGTCACGTCCAAATCTTTTTGTTTTTTTCTTTATTTCGATGGTTTCCATGGACTGAAAATTATACAACGCCCTTCAATTCATGATTGTTCATATTAAATATATACTCGTTAACCTTTCTCTTTTTTCAACGTGTCTATCTCATGTAGTAGGTTACGAATGTACGCCGCCGCCAATTCGATAGTGGTGGCTTTCGAAGGCACGGTCACGCCCTCCTGGAAGTTTTGCGGGATCAAGCGCGACAATTCGTGCACCGCCTGATTCATTCTGATGCGCCTTCCCTGCTCAGCGACTTTGTGTGATGTTTTTTTGCCCGGCATACGGTGTCGTTTTCCGGATTCGGACCCTGTGTGTTCCCCGCCCACGGCGCCTAGCACGGGGGACGTTTCTGACAGCGAGCTGAGGGCCGGCGCCGAGTTCGGGGCAGAAGAGAAATCATGATTCGAGATCTGAGCTGAACTGGGCACAGAGCTTGTGTTATTATGTGCAGAACCAGCGGCAGAAGTAGGCATAGAACCGGGTAAAGACTGTTTTCTCGAATGGCCTAAATTCGCACCACCATTGTGGTCATTCATTACTTCGTCTCTCGCTGGTTCCGAAACGTCCATATTCTCATCTCCCTGCAGTTCTGCAAGCCTGTTCATGGTGAAACCCATAAGCGTACCAGGCCCAAACGCCGCTGCAGGTGAGGTGTGGCCGAAACCGAACGTATTTTGCGATTCGATTATGGCTTTTTTACCTTGTGGTGGGAGCATCGGCGTCGTCTCTGTAGAATGTAGTTTCTCATGCTTTTCAGGGGCGTGCAGCAGTGGTACTTTCCTAAGCGAAGGCAGCTGTTTCACTTTTGACGACACTGCTGCAAGTTTGGGCGTCAGGTGCGGCGTCCTGCGTTTAGCCGGGTTCCCATTTGTGTAGCTATCGCCGGCAAATGCCGTCAGAGGCCGGCGCCGGTCGGTTTCAAATGCCGAGGATGCCGAGAATCCCGAAATCCCGGGCCCTGCCGTATTTGCATTCAGCTGTGCTTTCAACGCAGGTGATGTGAGCGGCTCAAAGTCAGTTGCTGCAGGCACGAATAGTGGAGTGTTGCTATTGATCTGCAGTTCCAGCGGTGTCACTGCCGGTGACGCTAGTGGCGTGAAATGCGCCTCGGGGATTGTCGGGTTTTGTTGCGTCATCATTGGCGTCAGCCTCCGCGATCGCTGCTGTCTCTGCTTCTGTATCAAGTGCTCCTGGTTGTACAGTTTGCTGTTTTGGCTGGGTAAAATGGGCGACTGAAAAACAGTGGCCAGATTAGGCAATTTTGGCGCCGTGTTTAGCCTTGAATTTGCCGCTTGGAGTGCCGGTGTGTTTTCAGGAAACTCCAGCGGCGGGTACGCCCTTGATTCGTGGCCGAGACTTTGAGAAGCAATGAAATCCATGTTATCAAGCCGGAATTCGTGCGTTTCCAAACCATTGCCAGGCCCAATGGGCGTATCGTAGTAGCTACTGCCAAGCTGGTCGAGCAAAAACGCCTCTTGAGGAAACTGGCCAAGATTTTCGTGCGTTAGGGGCTGCGCGGGGCCATTTTGAGTGACATTTGGCTCGAGAATGTGGCCCTGCGGACTGAAGCCAGATGAACGCCGGTGTTCGTGTGACATAGCGTGTGGTTCGTAGTTGTAACTATCAAGAGGTTGCTTCTGATGAAAAGCTTGCTCTTGGTAGACCCCCGGGGGCAAAATCAGTGGGTTTTGCGTCTGATTAGTGTACACTTCCGACCCGTTTCGTGATGCGCTCAACAGCGCGCGTGTTTGGTGTTCCCTCGCCGGCGACGACGCGAATTCCGAGTGGGTTTGTGAATGTAAACTGTTGCCAGGAGAATTCTGCGTGTACTGGCGAAACTCCTGTTGATTTTGGACGAGTTTAGACGTGTTTCTGTATGTACCGGCGCCGGGCAGATGGCCCCAATCAGAGCCCATTCTCAGGCAGTAGGGCTGGGGTGGCACGTGCGAGGCAAGGACGGCAGAAAAGCCCTCTATTAACGGTGGATAAGTATCAGAATCGGTTTTTCCAAAACTGCCGATTTGAAGCCTGGAAAAAACCTAATTTGAAAACTGCACGCGACGATAAAATAGTGAAAATTCCGACGATGTGAATTTACAGATTGCGTCCTCAAACGTGTGTATGGAACTGCGCAGTGCGCCTCGCGATATACTCTATAAGCACACGATCCATGGGGAGTCAGAAAGTGCATGAAGTACTGTCTAAGAGGTACGTTTTTTGTCTTTTATTGTTTCAATTTCTTTTTCTTCCTTTTTCAATCGAGCAGCTTTTGGATTAGTTGGCCACAAATCCAAATAGAAAGATGAATTCCGTCAGATAATGCTTGAGTATAATAGTTCTGAAAGCGTTCAGTTCTACTAAGTACCGTGCTCACTCACTCACACGGCGCTGCGTCCTTTCGCATGTGACGCATATCAATACTCTGATGCGCCCTGGAAATACCCCAAAATGGGCCAATTTTGGGAGATAAAAACCACGCATTAATGCTCAAAATAGTCCAAAAACACGCATTTAGATCTCAATGTTTACCGGAAAACATCTTTGTGAGCGTCGTCGGTGAGTCGAGCTTCGCCACGCACCTATAGGGAGCCGCATGTGTATGGTCCTGCGTCTTGAATGAGTTGGACGCACGGAATTATTATTGACAGAGGATTATCAGAGATTGATGACTGAGAACTTTTAGGTGTTTCTGGAATGGGGCCTGTATGCATCGCAAGTGACCATAGCTATCTCAAGGAAATGGTTTTTTATTGTTTTTGCTAAATTCTACCGAAATCCTGGTACATCCATATCTGAATTAATGACCCAATGTGGACTCTTGAAATGTGATTTATTACTAGTATCCCACGTGGCGTGTATATGTGCAGGCCCTTGGGCACATCAAAAGCTTAATTATTTATAATTTATTACACCGCACTAAATCGAGCAGAAAAGCTGCGTTCACTGGACTGATCTAATTTGATGAGTGTCCGAGTCAGGTTTCATGTCTGCTGACTCGGACAGAGTTGAGACTTTTTTGCAAGAATATAAATCTTGTTTGATTGATTCAAATCACAATGCGCGAGCTGTTCTAGGCTTGACTCGATCCTCTCTAGAGTCTGAGATGTAACAACAAGGAGTGGCCGATGGGGCCTAGAGTTATATTTTCGCCGACTTGTTCGCATAAGATTCCGTAATTTCAAAACATAATCTTTCTTTTATTATATTTTGCACCATTTTGAGATTTTCAACTTCCTGAAGCAGAAAGCGTGACCCAGCCAATTGCGCGGCGGCATTCATTCTTTCATCAGGTCACCCGCGTATAGTTTCCCTTTTCAGGCCCACTTTATGGGAACAATCAGGCGAAGCGTGCAGCATTGAAAAAAAAAATAGGAGATTATTGTTGCCTAGCGTCATCTCTAAAGCATTTGCATATATATAGTGATGAGCTTCGAAAATTAGTCAAAATCTCGTCTTTTTGAGGTTTCAGTGGGTGATTCTAGGCTCCAATTCCACCAGCGTCCCCTATATTTCATCGTTGACCAGAATCCCTTATTGATTTTCTGAATTTCATTAAATGAATACATGTATTTGAGAAGATTTTCAGCTTATTCTGGTTTATTGCGGCCTAGCTACCAATATGTTTAATACCAGCAATTGAACTAGACACTTTTGCATCCTTTTTGTTTAAACCTGCAAACATCAAACTCTTACTAAAGGCTAGATGAGCCTGACATCGAAAATTTGCATCTGAACTACTCTGTGTCGATGTCTTTTTTCTCCTCGTTTGGGACCATACTCCACAATTCGTCAAGCGTGGATTCAGCCTCGGCCACCTGGCTATTCACAATCAAAAGCATGTCCGAAAGCACATCGGATAAAGAGCTATACTTCTTGAAAAACACATACAAGGTGCGATGGAGCTTGTAAATCCGCGTAATGTAATTATCCATTGATAAATCGAGCTTTCCATGTGAATCATAAAACGCCATTGCCCTCACGTTGAGCTCGATGATTTTGGAAACTAATTGATGACCAGGCACGTCACTATATCTGTAGTACTTTAAGTCATCATTGGCATCCAGCATAAGTTTGAACATGTATTTTGCAAACGAGAATTGCTTTTTGACATTTCGAGGCGGATGATCTCTTTTTATTGATTGTGCGATTTTGAGGAATTCAGATTTAAAGACCTCGAGATGATTCTCAAACCCAAAAACATCAAACGAAGTGTCGTTCACGTATTTCTTCATTTCATCGACAAATCGGCTCAAATTCTCTTCGGTGGCATAAACAGTGTGGTTTGAGTGCTGCTCGATTTTAGGCTCACTCTCTTTACCGGTTTGAAGTTTCAATTCAGAACTTTCAGAAATTGGCAAATTAATAACAAATCTCAGCAGATTGGTAATTTCTTGATGAACAGGCATTGCCGCCACCCTCATCTGAAATATTGCGGTTACGATAAAGATGTAACTGACTCTCATTGTATAATGCAGGCTATTTTTTTTTAATAATCAAGAAGATTGGCCAGATGAATCTTATTATAAATATACTTGCTTTGGATACTTGTAAGCAAAAGGAGACCATTGAATGCTCGAAAAGTATCCGGCTGTGTCAAATTCCGCTATATGGCTGTGGTTTCACGGAACTATGGCGCTCCTGATGGAAAACGGCCACGCCAGTTTGATATCTCGAAATAAACGGCCAAGAGTGATGCGGGTAACAATCTACAGAAAATAGGTATGTTAAAAGAACGTTTTTGTAAGGCTATACCTTACTTTTAGTCGACCAAAGATAGTCACCACTTAGATTGCTGTTGGTTTCAATGGTAAACAATTCAACTTTGGTTAAACATTCTGAAAGATAAAAAGTTCTAGAGTTACGTAAAAATGAATTACGCTTGAAGCGATAAAAAGTTCTTTGTTTTTCAACGGCCGTGAATGGATGGACCCAGAAAGCTGAAATGGGGTTTCTTTCAGTGGCAGAAAGGTAAGG